GCCCATTTGGAGCAATGGGGAGAAGGGGTTTTGGGAGGCTAGTTTGAGAGGGAAAATTTGAATGTGAGATGTTTGAAATTAAGAAATGAATTGTATTAGTAAGGAGGCTGGTTTGAGGGAGTTTTCTCATGCCTGAATATTTGTGTTCTCTTGAGTTCTTGGGTGTTTGTCTCTAGATTGTTTTTCTAGAGATTTGGGAGAGAATGATCCGATTGAGGATCACTTGTATCTTGCTTTGTCGTTGTTTGGCTTGATTTTCTCATTGCAATCAATCGTTTGGGGGCTATTTTTCCGCCTAGTTTTTGGCACTATTCTCGCTGTTTTCACCAATTAGTGATAGATTTGCTTGCGAACTCAAGTATTTTCCTTGGGGATTCTTGCGAACTCAAGTATTTCCTATCAAATTGGTATCAGAGCATCATCTTGGGACCATCGGCGGCTGAATTTTGGAAATCTCAGCGGATTTTTTTGCATCCGATAGAAGCTCTCTTGAGATCCTTGAGAAGAAAGATGACCGGAAAGAAGGTCAAAGTGTTGGAAGGCGAAATTGGGCAATTAAAATTGGATTTGGAGGGAAAATTCTTTGATTTTCAAAATCAAATCTCCTCCAACAATGAAAGGTTGGAAGGGAAGTTCACTTTGATGGAAGAGATGTTGAAGAAATTATTAGAGGTGAAGATCAATTTGATGACATCGGAAGCAAGGGAGACCATCAGCGACCATGGTATGGGAGGGAATCCAAGCCCGTTTAGGGGGAGGAAAAATCCGGAAGTGGAGATCCAAGAGGGGGAGGACAACATGCCACCTCTAGAACCACTTTCTAGAGAGGAGATGAGCATGTGTTACGAAAAGAGGGGTGCTGATTTTGTTGGAAGAAGGGGGGATTTCCAACACCGAGGTGATGATTTTGAAAAGAGAGGGGAAGTTGATGAGGACTATGGTTATGATTGCCGGAGGGAAGATCTTGATAGTTGGGGAGCACCTCCTGTTCGTGGCATGGGAGGATTTGAAGGATCTAGGGGCAATTGGGGTGACCCGAAGGTCAGAAACCTGAAGATGCCCATCTTCGAGGGTGAGGATGGACATGGTTGGATCTACAAGATGGAACGGTACTTTTCCATCAACGGGCTAACAGAGGAAGAGAAGCTGATAGCGGCCAGACTATGCTTGGAGGGAAAGACACTAGCTTTGTACCAATGGCGAGATATGAGGTAACCCATTAGGAGCTGGAGAGAGTTCAAGGAGTGCTTACTGAAACGTTTCCGAATCGGAAGGGGAGGGGACTTCTATGAGTAATTCTTTGCCTTCACGCAGGAAGGGATAGTGGCAGAGTATCGTGATCGGTTTAAGTACCTAGCTAGCCGACTGAATCGTCTATCTGATATTGTGCTTGAGGGGAACTTCATGAAAAAGCTCAAACCGGAGCTTAGAGAAGCTGTTAAAGTGATGCGACCACACGACTTGGGGGAGGTCATGGAGTTGGTATAGCTGGTTGAGGACCAGGAGCATCTGGAGAGAGGGGCTCGTGGCAATTGTTTTGGGGGATCCTACAGGATGAATACTACTTTTCTAGTTCCCAAAGGAGCTGCACCGGGAGGATCACGAGAATTACCGAGGGAGAAGTCTGGAGGGCCTAGAGGACATTTTAAGAAGTCGACGGAGAAGGAGATCCAGGAGAAGCGGGATAAGGGGTTGTGTTTCAGGTGTGATGAGAAGTACATGTCAGGTCATAGGTGTAAGGACCGAACTCTTTAGGTTCTCATCGTCTGTGATGATGAGGAAGCTGAAGAGGGAGGTGGAAGCGGGATAGAGACGGAAGAGGAGGAGAAGTTGCATTTGAATGTGGCAGAAGTCTCTCTAAACTCAGTAGCGAGATTCACTCTGAATCACACTATGAAGGTGAAAGGAGAGATAGCTGATAGGGATGTGGTAGTGTTGATAGATAGTGGGGCAACCCATTGTTGACCTCTGCCATTGAAACAAAATAGAGAAATAAAAAAATGCCTAAAATCATTACCTGTGGTAGCCGAAGCCCATTCCGATTTTCCGCTGAAATCCCGCCGAACTCAAACAGAAATCCCGTAACTTCATACCTGTTCGGCGCCGTTTGCGTCGCTTCCCCATGAATCTCGCGATGACAGCCTCGATCGCCTCTCTCCAAACTTCTATAAGAGCCAACCGATTGGACTCTCACACGGCACATCTTCCATGCACGCACAGCTCCTTCCCTCATTGGTAGAGGTCAACAATGGGTTGAATTAATTATAATTAATTTTAACTAACTGAAATTATTAAATTAATTATAATTATTATGATTAATTATGATTAATTTTAAGTAATTAATCATAATTAATTTTAATTAATTATGATTAATAGGTATTAATTATAATTAACATAATTAATTGAAATTAAATTTAATTAATTACTACTAATTTATAATTAAAACTAATTAATTAAAAAAAAGTAAAGCC